TGATGGACCATGGGGAACCCACCCAGAGTTCTGGTTTAGGGGATGATGGACCATGGGGCTGTTTCAGGGAATGATGAATGGGGAGCTCATCCAAGGGTTTGGGGGGATGTGCTCCACTGGGTGGGCTTTAGGGGATGATGGACCCCAGGGACCTCATCCAGAATTCTGTTTTAGGGGATGGTGTTCCCCTGGGTGGGCTTTAGGGGATGGTGTCCATGGGGAGCTCAATCAAAGGTCTGGTTTTGGGGGTGATGGATCATGGGGAGCTCACCCCAAGCTCTGCTTTAGGGGATGGTGTCCATAGGGAGCTCGCCCAGATTTTAGGGGATGATGCCCCACAGGGAGTTCATCCAAAGTTCTGTTTTTGGGGATTATGCTCCTTTCTAATCTCATTTTTGGGGACAATGTCTCACAGAAATCTCTTTTTTGGGGACCATGTCCCACAGGGTGTTCATTTTGGGAATGATATCCCACAAGGAGCTAATTTTTGGGGATGATGTCCCACTGGGAGCTCATTTTTTGGGATGATACCCCAATGGAATCTCATTTTTGGGAACAATATCCCACCAGGAGCTCATTTTAGGGATGATGTCCCACAGGGAGCTCAGTTTTTGGGGACAATGTCTCACCAGGAGCTCATTTTGGGGATCATATCCCACAAGGAGTTAATTTTTKGGGAWGATGTCCCACTGGGARCTCATTTTGGGGATGASACCCCAATGGAATCTCATTTTTGGGGATAATGTCCCACCAGGAGCTCATTTTGGGGATGATGTCSCACTGGGACCTCATTTTTTGGGATGATGTCCCATCAGGAGCTCATTTTTAGGACTCTGTCCCACTGGGAGCTCACCCACTCACCCACAGGAGGGCTGCTGGCTCAAGGCGCTGCCGCTGGGTGGGTTTGGGGCAGAGCCCRAGCACACCCGGCTGAGCCCGGGGCTATTTCTGGCTCTCAGGACRTTGGGCAAGAGCAATTCAAGACAAGCAACTTGGAGCTAAAATGGGAGAAAGAACCCAAAGCGTGGCTCAGGCAGAAAAAATCCACCAGGGCTGGTGGGGAAAGGGATTTTTTTCCGGGCTGGAAGCCAGGGCAGGCTCTGCGGGGCAGATAGGAGGCCGTGGTGCTCGCCTGGCTGTGCTGCTGTCATTATTTAATAAATCACGTTCATAATGACAGAGAGCACAGCCCCGGCTGGGCGGCATCGCATCCCTGGCAATTATTGGGATGGTGYGTTGGGGCCGGGCCAGGACGGGCCATCGTCCCCTCAAACAGCTCTGGCTGCTCTAAAAATGCCTCATTTCCCCTCTCATTCAGATTGTGTCAGAGAAACCCCATTATCTGCAGCTTTTGGTCCTGCTTTTTGGACTCAAAGCCCTCTTGGTCCTGTTTGGAGCCAGAGTCCCTCAACAGGCTTGTTTGGTTTCTTGGTGACAGAGTTGAGTTTTGGTTCCAAAAAAGCAGATGATGGAGGCTCTTCCAGCTAAAAAATGGGATTGTTTTTTCCCAAGGGGCTCTGCCAGTGAAGGATGCAGATGGGGCAGAACATGGAGCTCGGCGGGTTCTGAGGTGGGTGGGTGGCAAACCCAGGGCASAGAACCCCAAAACCACGGGACCCCAGCCCCACTGGCCGGAGGAGGATTTTGGGCTCTGTGGAACATTCTGAATGTGGGTACCAAGTCCGGGTGGTGCTTTGGTCTTCTCCCAGTACTGTCGGCATCGGTGAGGCCCCGCCGAGAGCGGCACCAGGAGCAGATCCCTGCCACAACGGGGTTTGGGTGTTCCTTTTCATGTTCCCGCTGTCAAAGCGTCCCAGCCCATCTGGGAACAGATCCCTGCCACAACGGGGTTTGGGTGTTCCTTTTCCATGTTCCCTCTGTTAAAATGTCCTGGCCCATTTGGGAACAGCCCCTGCCACAACAGGATTTGGGTGTCCCTTTCCACGCCCCTGCWGTTAAAATGTCCCAGCCTGTTCGGGTAGGGATCCCTGCTATGCCGGGGCTCAGGTGTTCCTTTTTCACTTCCCTGCTGTTAGAACATCCCAGCCCRTTCAGAAGCAGCCCCTGCCAKGGTGGKGTTYRGGTGTWMCTTTTCCACRTCCCCACTGTTAGAACATCCCAGCCCATYCAGRARCAGCCCCTGCCATGGTGGTGTTTGGGTGTTCCTTTTCCAYGTCCCCACTKTTRGAACRTCCCAGCCCATTCAGGAACAGCCCCTGCCCTGGTGGTGTTCAGGTGTTCCTTTCCTGTTCTGTTAGAACCTCTCAGCCCGTTCCCCTTGGAGGCAGCCGGGCAGCCGGGAGCAGGTCGGAGCACTGGGCGCAGAACAGCCAGGGCCGTAATGAGCAGGTGGCGCCACTTCAAAGGCTCCCGACGATGTCACCGATGTCACCGAGTGCTCCGTGCCCGGACTCAGCTCCGCTCCTGCCCGAGCATCCCTCGGGTCACGGGACGATCCCACAACACCCACCTGCCTGGATGGCATTTAAATCACCCCAGCCCTTCCCTGCTCGGGGTTTTGTCACGGGACACTGACATTTTGGGGATTGCTCGCCGTGGCCAAGGTGGGCTGGATGTGGGACTGACCACGGCCGGACGTGCTGGAGCTGCAGCGGGAGCTGCTCTTGCTCAATGCCGCCACAGTGGAACCACGCATGGAGCTCCACGGGCACGTTTCGTCACCCGGGGATGGTCCCCGAGCCCTTCGTGGCCAGGCTGTCATTGCRGGGTTCAGGGTTTGGCCCCCRCCRTCCCTKACCCGTGGCYRCTCTRTTCCAGGTCCAYCCCTGCCGGTGCCACGTCCTTCGAYGTGTACGCCACRCCCGCRGTCACCGTGCACGTGATCCACAGCCCCACCACCAAGCCGGGCAYCGACGCCAGGTGGCCCCTGGACCCYGACATTGAGGTGATGGTGACCATCGATGTCACCAGCAGGACCATCGATGACAACCAGGTCAGTTGCTCTTTGCCAAAATTGGGCAAAATGAGTGAAATTTCCTGGGAAAATGCGAGAGCTTCTGAGTAGAGCTGACACCAGGCGGTTTTCATGGAAAAAGTCAGAATTGTGTAATTGGTGCTTAACAAGAAATGAAACCGAGAAGGAGAAGGTTTTATTCACTTCCCCAAATCAAAGCCTGCAAGATCTGGCAAAGTTGCAAAAGTCGGTGCCGGGCAGCAAAAAAATCTTCCGAGTTTGGCTTTTTCTGTGCCCAATTTTGTGCCGAAACTGGCACAGAGGGTTCGGATGAATGGTGATTCACAGAGAAGGACTGGGATGGACAGTGATTCATGGAGAAAGGCTCGGATGGACGGTGATTCACGGAGAAGGGCTCAGATGGACCTTCCAGGAGCCGGGGGGCTGCGCAGGGGGGCTGGACTCAGTGACCCTTCCCGGTCAGGTCCCTCTGAGATGCTGGGAGGGATCTGGGGGACAGGGTGCRGGGCAGGATGGGGTCACGATGTGGGGCAGGAGGGAGTCATGGTGCGGGGCAGGATGGGGTCACGATGCGGGGCAGGATGGGGGTCACAGTGTGGGATGGGATTATGGTGCAGGGCTGGACAGGATCATGGGGTGGGGCTGTACAGGGTCACGGTGTGGGATGGGAGGACGTCACAGTGCAGGGTGGGATGGGGTCACTGTGTGGGATGGGGTCACTATGCAGGGAGGGATGGAGTCACGATGTGGGGCTGGATGGAGTCATGATGTGGGAGGGGGTCATGGTGTGGGTGGGGTCACGGTGTGAGATGTGGTCACAGTGCGGGGCTGTACAGGGTCAAGCTGCAGAGCAGGACAGGGTCCCAGGGTGGGTCAGGGTCATGGGGCTGTACAGGGTCACATTGTGGGGCTGTACAGGATCATGGTGCGGGATCATGGGCCTGTACAGGGTCACAGTGTGGGGTCACGGGGCTGTACAGGGCCACATTGTGGGGCTGTACAGGATCATGGTGTGGGGTCACAGGGCTGTACAGGGTCATGGTGCTGGGCTGTACAGGGTCGCGGTGTGGGACTGTACAGGGTCACAAAGTGGGGTCGCAGGGCTGTACAGGGTCACAGTGCTGGGCTGTACAGGGTCACAGTGCTGGGCTGTCTCCGCAGGTGAAGATCGCCTACTACAGCCGCAAGGGTGATGAGCTGGCAGTGGCCTGGCTGTACCTGACCTGTGTCGGTAGGTGCTCCCTGCACTGGGCTCTGGCCGTGTGTGAGCCATGTCCATTCCTGGGGGGCCATAGAGCTTTGGGTGCTCATCAGTGCTGACGAGCCAGGGGGAAATCATTAAAACGTGATAGCCCCTCATTTGGGGTGCCAGAGACAAAGCCGGGCCAGTCCCCAACCAGGGGCACTCAGAGCATCCGCCCCCCTCCTCCTCCTCCTCCTCATCCTCTTCCTCCTCTTCCTTCTCCTCCTCCTCCTCCTCCTCTTGCCAAGGCCATTCCTTTGGGACAAAGATCCTGGGGTGATCTCTGGTGGCCGTCAGGGGACAGTGACCGGCGCCCGGTGGTGCCTGACCTGTTCCAGACATTTGTGACAGGTGAATCACTGCCTTCCCCCGCTGACTACAAAGGCAGTCTAGACAGCCGGGCTGCTCCACTCCGATGGATTCATTACCCTAAATTTGGCATTTTCTGAAAAGCTCACATGACAGTCACACCTGAGTCCTCCAGCCAGGCCTACGCCTCCCAAAATTGCTCCTGGAGAGGTTGAAGCTTTCCCACGTCTCACCTCCAAAATTTCCACCTTGCAAAATATTCCTCTCGGCTGGATTTCGGGTTTCCCTTCCAGCTTTTCYGTGTCCTCCTCTCTTCCTGGGGGAAAGATGATTTTTAGTTTTAGTTTTTGGATTTCCCGCGTGTCGTGGACCCTGCCCCGAGGAGTTTCCATGTTGGGATTGATGTTTCGGGTTTGGATGGGGCCACTCGTGAATCACAGGAGCTGAGGCAGAAATTTGGGGTGGGAGGAGCTCTGTGGAGGAAAACCCTTCTCAGATTTCCTGGGGATCTTCAGGCGTTCGCTCAACCGCGGTGAAAACGCATTTTTGTGTCTCCGCCGCGTTTTGGCGTCATGGAAATCRCGACAGCCGGAAGGAAATTGGTGAAAATGTAAAAAATGGTGTGAAAACATAAAATCTGCCACAAAAACATAAAAAAAATGCCACGGAAACCAAAAATGTATCATGAAAACTTAAAAAACAGCATGAAAACATTAAAAATGGCATGAATACATAAAAAATGGCATGAAAACATAAAATATGGCATGAAAACATAAAAAATGGCATGAAAACATAAAAAATGCCATGGAAACATCAAATATGCCATAAAAGCTTGAAAAATGCCATGGAAACAAAATTTGCCATAAGAACATAACAAATGCTATGAAAACATAAAAA